CCCCTCTTTCGCCGACTCCTCACCATCCGTTCGTCTCCTGAGACCCCCTGTTGGAGCTGGTCTCCGACACACCTTATTGTGTAGAAATAGGAGCCAAAGTTTTCATTCAGGATTTACAAAATCTCACTACTCTAGATGATACCATCTGTCATTGGGGTCACTCCCCCAAACTCACCCTAGGGGACTTACAAGATAAGGATTCATGTTTAAAAACCCCATCATATGACTTATACACTTCACCCTATCAGAATGCCTGTTCTGAAGTATAAAATCTGACAGGGGTATCCTCGAACTACCTTAAAGTGCCCCCAGGAACTTGGTTTGCATGTCTGACAGGATTGACACCTTGCTTACCACAAAGCTTGTTTGATGCTAAAACAGAGTTTTGTGTAGCTGTTCATATTATGTCCCAAGTTTATTACTATAGCAGAACTGCAGGTTTTGAATATTTTGAAGCACTAATGTCAAATAGATATAAGAGAGCAGCCCCCATACTTGTCCCTTTCCTAGTAGCTACTGGATTTGCTGGATATACCACTATTGGAGCCATTGCCCTAATTTTACAGGATCAGAACTTCAAGCTTCTTAGTTCTCAGATAAACTGAGACTTAGCATAGTTAGAAAAATCAGTGTCTAGGTTAGAAGAGTTCCTTAACTCATTGGCTGAAGTAGCCTTACAAAACAGATGTGGTTTAGATCTCCTATTTCTGAAACAATGAGGACTCTACATGGCCCTTGGAGAAAACTGCTGTTTCTATACAAATCATTCAGGGGTCATTAAAGACAGTCTTGCCCAGATGAGGAAAGGATTACAGGAAAGAGAAGAATTAGGTACTAAACAGGAAAGTTGGTATAAAAGTTGGTTTTCTTGGTTGCCATGGCTAACCACTCTTATTAGCACCGTAGCTGGCCTCCTCCTCATCTTATTGCTGATTCTCCTGGTTGGGCCGTGAATATTAAATTTCATCAGCAGATATGTCCAAGACAGAGTTCAGGTTGTTTGCCTTATGCTTTTGCACAGCCAATATGAACAGATAATGGATACAGAAGACAACCAAGAATCTAACAATTGACAATAAGTTTTTATTGTTCTACATAAAATCAGTGGGGAATGTGATGAGACAGAAGTCTTGACTATAGTGACTCCATTTTGTGAA